ATGGTGGGCATTGTGCAGGTATGATATGTGTTGGAGCGGTGACCACAGCTCGACTGTGGCTCCGGAATATTGTGTTATCATTTTGTGTGTATTTCGTAATCAAGCCTAGTGGGTAACATCTGTAGGAAGGCTGGCACGATGCATGCTAAGTGCCACGGTTAGGAGTACACGCCCCAGCTGTCGGTGGCTGGAAGAATAGGTCGAGTCCCAAGTGACGAATCGCTACTAAACAGGCTGGTGGCAAGGGCCCCTAGGAGTGTAAGGAGTTCCCACGTGGCAGGCATAAGCATCGTTACACAGGTAGCCACCTCACACGTCACGGTCCATTATTTCACGGTGCGGACCCCTGGCTCCCTTCGCCGATGCAGGAGAGCCTAGATACCACTGACGCTGGGAGCTGGGGGCCCAATCCGCGACACCCATGTGTCACCAGCTAACTTGACTTCACATGTACACACCTGCACGATCTTCTCCGAGAATTAGGTCAAGCTCATACAAAATAGAACAAATATCACAGATAATTCCCCTGCTTAGTAAAGTTTCACGGTCTTAGGAAACAGGAGCGTATGTGACTTTTTCTGACACAATCCAACAGTATGCGCGTTAATGAAACATTCTAATTATTAGGTTGTCCCATAAGTCTTTTCATTTCTGAGTTTTCGCTATGGTAAGTCACACACTTCTTATTCTAATTAGACATCAGGATAATATTCGATAAAGCAAAGCAAGCTCTATAAGAAGATGTTTATGCTTTTGCACAAGCTTTGGTCCATCTCGAGTTTTAAACCAAAATCTAAAAAGTTTCGGATGCCCAAAAAACCGAAAAAATTTTATATCTTCGTTCAAAAAAAATCCTACAGATCTCTAACTCCACGCATATACGTTCCATATCATACATTCATATGTGCTGTTGCTGCATTTTTTTTATCGGCTAGAATTCAAGAAACCGAAAATTTCCATGTTTTTACCAAAGTGATGCTGTGCTGTTCTTACACTAACAGTTGCACACTAGAAGCCTTTAGAAGTACTACCGTAGAATGTTGGCTCTCTATACGCTCTGGTTTCCGAGATATGTTGATTTAAGCGCGAAAGACCCGAGTGAAGGAAGCTAAATTTGATATTTCTTGTGAATCAGAGCATGTAGAGAGCCAAAAATCTACGGTAGTACTTCTAAAGGCTTCTAGTATGCAACTGTTAGTGTAAGAACAGCACAGCATCACTTTAGTAAAAACATGGAAATTTTCGGTTTCTAGAATTCTAGTTGATAAACAAATACAGCAACAGCACATATGAATGTATGATATGGAACGTATATGCGTGGAGTTAGAGATCTGTAGGATTTTTTTTGAACGAAGATATAAAAAATTTTCGGTTTTCTGGGCATCCGAAACTTTTTAGATTTTGGTTTAAAACTCGAGATGGACCAAAGATTGTGCAAAAGCATAAACGTCTTCTTATAGAGCTTGCTTTGCTCTATCGAATGGTATCCTGATGTCTAATTAGAATAAGAAGCGTGTGACTTACCATAGCGAAAACTCAGAAATGAAAAGACTTATGGGACAACCTGATAATAACAGAGTTGATGGTCTTCAGTTTGGCATATACAGCCACATCGTTCTTCCGATGTACCATTCGCTGAGCATTACACTGAGTAGTTACTTTCTGTAAGTTTGAGCTCAGAAAACCCATAAATGAGCAATGACGATATATATTTACTCGTGATAATATATTTACTGGTGAATGGCATTTTGCAGATACTCAACACCTTATGTGAAAAATGCAGAATTTTCTTCCATTCCGTACAATGCATTTGATCGCTCTAATTAAAGCATGCCGTACTTTATAAAAAAACGTTATTTTTGGGAGGAGGTAAGCCAGCGTAAACCGAAAAATTTATGCAGTTTTTAGAAAAGGATACAGTAATGCTGATAACTATTATATTTATGTTGAAGAAATTTGTATTGATGTTCCAACGGAAGAAGGGAAAGTAGCAAGACAGAGTAGCTGTGTGAAAAAAAAATAATTTTTCTGTTTCACATTGTATATGATTAATAAGCTTCATAGAAATATAGTACACATCCATATCTATTTGTGTAAAGTGACAAAGCAGCTAGTTGAGATTACAATTTCACAGATTCGTGACTGAGCTATGTGGTATTATTATGAAACGACTCAATTCAGTTGATTTGCTTAAAAATACGAGCTCTCATATTTTCAATTGCTAACTGATAAGGCTACAGAGATCCGAGGCGCACAAACTCCCGCATCTAGGTTAAATAGCAATGACAGCTAAAGTTGCTTCACCCATTCGTACTGAAATTCTTATGGTAGAAAGAAAATGGACATTGAAGCAGTGTCTAGATGGCTGCACACGCTAATGTATACGATCGCAACCATTTTGTGGACACGAAGCGGACATAAAAGTCATTGATGAATGGTACGATGAAGATGAGAGCACAAAGATTTGAGGGAAGAGGAGCAATCACGATCGAACAAGATCTGGAGAAAAAGCTTTCGCTCTAGCCAAGCGTTGGGTCATTTTTCAGTTTGCCAACGTTCTGAGCGCGAACTTTACACTGAACTAGCGAGCCACTGACAGCAATGCAAGCACGGAGACTTGCAACTCATACAAACTTATTGCTTGTTTGACGATGAGTCAACTGAAGGGGATAATGATGACATCGCTATTCTCTATCTTGTCCTGTAGAGTACATAAATTATTTGTATATTTATATCGCAATGACAAGAAAACAGTCCAACATCTGTGACTCATCTTTTCACTACAAACTTCCAATAAGCTTGGCTGATTCCCCTTCGATAAAAATTATCAAAAATAGACCAACTTAGCGTTCTCTTTTACAACTGCCCTTCAAAGCAGCTGTTCGAAAATTATGTCATCTCATTTCTGCATCATGGCTCACTATGAAACTCCGTCACTGTCAGAAAATTCCGAATTGTAGCTTGCGACTAATAAATTGGCAGCATTCTCCAGCTAATTGTTACAAGACAAGGAAGTAACGGGGCTGAGGATGAGATTCGAATAAGTGAGTGGGAAAAATTAAGTGGCTCACATTATAAAAAGAACAGAATGAAGCATAGTTAAAAACACCATTTACCGTAAACGATATAAGAAATAAAATATGCCGGCGAGTAGACACAATCCGGATAGAATCACGAAAACTTATGTGCGGAACTCAAGAGACAGAAACTGTAACCCTTCGAAGACGGCGTCTTCCAAAACAATAAAGGAGAAAATATCGTTTCAGAAATTGAGATAATCACCTTCTAAAACCAGGGTTCGCCACGAGGTGGCTTTTGGAAAATGCAAAAAACGACGTCCCCTCGACTTTCGCGATTTTATACGAAGTCCTCTTTGACCCTAAACTCTAAAAGTCCGAACGTCGAGCCTCAAAAACGTCACAGTTTTTGCGTCTTTTCGGCCTCAAAAATGGCCTTTGCATTTCGTCCCAAAAACGGTATCCAACTTGCTCGCAAGCCACCTGTGCCTAGCCCTGTCTAACAATGACAAGAATAAAGCGAGTATTTTAGAAAAAAAATTGGAATAGTTGCAAGAAAAAAAAATTGTAAAATTAGACATTGCAACTGCCTGCAACACGTAAGAATCATGATCTTCCACACCATTTCGAAGGAGATGTGTATAGGGTGTTACAACTTTAGAAATATAGAGCGTATAGATTAGAAAGTTTTTAAAGTTAAAATGCAAAGATTATTCTACCCAGAACTTCAAATATCAAAATCGACCTTCACACGGGGCTGAATGAGGACTGCAAAACAGAAAATGAAGAGCCTACACAAACACAGAAGACATTTTCACAAAAGTGTGAAGGAAAAGAACCTGTCCCTTTCTCTTCATATGTTACGGAAAATTTGCAAAAGCCTTAAACCCCGGACTGCCGTGGCAAATTTTCGATTGATTTCTGCGCAGTCAAACAAGCGCTGACACTCATTTTCTAATAATATAGCCGTGCGCAGCCGGTTGTGAGTTGAGGGTTTCAAGGTTGCGACGCCAGAAGAGCGAGAGCAAAGAATCAGGTTTATACGCCGCAACGAATTCAACCATTGCAACGGCAATTTGTTTGCATTGAGCATAGAAAAAGACATTCACAGCAGCAATTACGTACTATTGTGCTTTTTTCAAGGTACCATTTGTGAGTGCAGTAATAAATAAGCAAAAAGCAGCCATCTGGCAGTCATTCACTGATGGTTTCCAAGAAGATAAGTGGGGAGATGATTCCTACGCAACAAGTGCAAAATACAAGGACTTGGAAGAAGGGGACAGTTTTGAAAAATTTGGGGCACCCTTACTTTTCGAAAACGAAGTGAGAAGGAAAAGAGATTATTTTTAAATATTAATCAGAAATGACAGACCAACAGTGACAGAGCAAATTTCGCTATTCTCGATCTACTCGAACAAACAAAAACGAAAAATGTAAAAAGTATTTATAAAGTAGTTCACAATCAAGTTGAAGAAGAGAACACCTTTGCAGAAACACATGAAAATTCCTCTTCATTAGATAGAAAAATCAGTCAAAAAGTAACATGAAATGAACAATGCTTGTACGCTCTTAGTTTGTCCAGTCAATTTCTTACAGTTTCCAAAATGGAGGCCAAAGTTCTATTCAGCAATTTTTGTTGGTCAATCTCTCAGTTCAAGCCCACATTCCTTAGCACCACATATTGAAGATAGAGGATCAATCGGGAACGTGTACGACACCGTGAATTATAGTAATGAAAATGAGTAGAAAGAGATAGATATATGCTTAGATAAGCAACATGTTAAGTGATTTGCATGGTGGCACAATAAAAAATGTTGATTTTTTTTGATTTATCAATATCTTAAAAGTGAAAAAAGCTTAGCGTTGATCGTACAAGTCCATATATACTTCCAGCATGCACTGCCGATCCCAGCAGAAACTGACAACGACCGACAAACAAAATATAGAAAGATTTAATTGCGATAAAACCATACTATGGAATCATGAAAACTGGAAAGGCTTCATCAATCAGTGCCTATCAACAAACAATTGTCAACGAGGTGAACGGGAGCTGATATCTGTATTAGACAATGTTTGAGGTAAAACAAAACCTGTGTGAAGATGCCTGAGTAATGTAAGATAATCCTGAGAGAAGTAGGAGCAAATGCAGTGAAATGGAGAGATAAAACAACGAACATCTAATAATAGCTAACAAGTAAAATTATGTAAAATAAGTAGTACACACTGCATGCATAAATGTGGGGATTCTTAGTCGAAATTATGGCTAATAGAACTAAACTATATCTCGCTTTGAATGGCAGAAGCTGTGCGAGGTAGCTTGCACCTAAATTAAGCTGAAGCGTAAACTAATGAGCTGTCTCTACTTCTTGACGAGAATCCCCTTCGTTCGCATCTAAAAAAGCATTTTAATGGAAATCTTCACTAAAAATCGCAACAGGAACCTCGTTTCGCTCGGTGAGTTACTTTTGGACATGCGCTGAATAGATGGTCTGTTGCACCACAACCATAGCAGACCTAGATCGTAGCGTATAAGGATGATGTAGACAACTTAAAACTTGTAAAAAAGTTTCCCTTCACTAAAGTAATGATCGAGTAGCATAAGCAGTATGCAGCGTTGTAAACAGCAATTGCATATAGAACATATATTTGACACTAACGAACCTTTTGGTCTGATTCCACTTTCCTACAACGTTGAGCCATATGATTGCCGAACCGACCACATTTGTAGCACCTACAGGCAAAAATTACGCCAGATAAAAGTGAAAACAGTTGAGCAATAATCTTGGCAGAGTATATAAGTAAGTCTTTATGAAAGTTTACATGTGCAATGTATGGATGAATGCAAGAGATCAAAGAAAAACTTGAAGGCGGACCAAGCAAATTCCGAGACTTTTTTCATGCAAATATTGAGAAGACCTTAGCTAAGCCACTGCCCAGACGGCAGCTAGCATGAATCTTATGCGAAAGAGAACTCAACTTCAGTCGAGAACGTTCCGCCACTACTGTACGCTTTACGCTTACACTCGAAAAACAGGAATCAAATTTCTTGGCCAAGAAACATATGAGCTTACGCTTAAGCAGGGGTTTAGTTAGAACCTTCCAGTCACTGTTCATATAAAAAGCCCAATCAAAATCTGCTTGGATATGCCAAGCGACTACAGTCTGAGAATTTGACCAAAAATGTTATAACGCCAATGAAGCTGTAGTTAAAAGAGACCGAAATGTAACAGTAAGATGGAAAAAAAACTGCTACATAAGTTAACCCAGCACAACCTCCCACCAACCTGATCATGCGGTCTTTCTTGGCTCCTAGTGGACGGATGCTGCTGCCTTTCAAAGTCTTACTTGGATCTTCAGGACCGACCTGAATGGAGAAATAATTCCGATTACATTGAAAAGGAATGGAGCACATCATGGAGCTCCGGAGGTGAAAACAACAAACCTCGAAGGCTTCTAGAGCACCGGCTCGTTGTCCACTGTTACGAGTGCGCACATAGAACGCTACGCGCTCTCCCTCCTCCAGACTACGAAAACCTTCCATTTGCAATTCCGACTTTAAACGTAATAGAATGATTTTGGTCATGCTCAATACAATAGTCAAAAAAATTACCTGATGAACAAAAACATCCTCATTCGTGCCATCAAGAACGATGAAACCAAAGCCTTTCAGTACGTTGAACCATTTGCATGACCCAGTTTTGCGATCCTAAATGAGATCAGCAATAAAAATTTAGGTATCGAATGACGATAGTGCAGACATCGAGGACTTTGCACTGTATGTGGAATAAAAGATAAATAACTGGATAAATAAATAATTCAATAAATGATATGACTTGTTAAAAACTCACAGATCTCTGTCCATTCTGCCCTTCAGAATGCTCGTTGCCGTTGTCGTTACTTTCTGGTGGTTCCGTTTTGACAATTGCTTCTTCTACTTGCTCTTGCTTTGGTGGTTGGTTCACATCGTCCTGTGTTCCTGACGCAGTCATAGCTGGAGGAGGTTGCGCACGATAATCGTAGCTGGAATGAGCCATTATAACGCGAGTAAAGATTATCAATAGACTGACGCAACACAGCGGATAACATCAACTAAGAAAATAAGAGTGCATCCAATCTCGAGCAAGAGCAAACTGATAAGCGCTTGGCTTTTGTAGGAAGCAACATGCATCTGCAAACACTTTCAGCGCGGTCGGGATTACAAAAGGCGCCTGACTTTACGGTAAATCTGCAGCCAATTTTTTCTAAGGAGGCTTATTTCGTGTATCCCGCGAAACTCCCCATGTACGACAATAAGGCAACCATTAGTTGCCTTTGACGCGTTGATTCAGAGACAGCGCTGTTGATTTCTTTGAAAAGCAAGGCCTATCATAGTGAATTTCCTTGCCTCAGTAGTTGCCCGTGCCAGTCCGTTCCAGCGCCGTGTCAGAACCGTGCTGGATGCGCGCGGCGTTGACAATCGCATCTGAAACGGCATTGGAACGGCTGGCACGGATAACTACGGAGGCAAGGGAATTGCTTGTGATAGAATTTGCTTGTGAGAGAAATGGAGTTTTGCAGTTTCGCAATGCGCTTGGCATTTGGCCAAGCACGCGTTCGGAGGGGCGGAGCTTGAGCCAAGACGCGTGCTTGGCCCTTGGATGACCATTCCGGTCTTTCGTCAGCTGAGGGCCCACCCGCCCACCCTTGTCGAGGTCGCTCAGCTACTATGGACTCTAATTGAAGTCCTTAAAGGACCAGGGTAGAAATTTCAGGCTTTCGCAGAACCAACGTCAGTGATGGCGGATGGAGATGACACGCAGACATATCCCAAGACTTCACCTTCAACAGGGTTGTTTCGCATTCGAGATGGACAGAATTGCACTCGTTATGGGCAACGTCCAGTCGTCGGTCCAATGAATCGTTACCCGCGATTATCTTCTCATACTCATATTTCTGGATTTATGTAGAGAATGTAGTATCAGCCGGGTGTTGTAATTGATTTCTAAGCGAGCACAGTCTGCAATAGTTTTGAATTCTTTTGTACGTTTGTAGGAATGTTTTCGTCATTCCATAGTACATTTATGAGAATTTTAGTGACGATTTCTCGTGGTTCCTGGCGTATTATGGTTTCTGTTAGTGATGATCACTGTCTTTGAGGACACTGACTATTTTTTCTCAATGTTAACAAGTAGCTTGTAGGAGAGTAGTGAATCTGAGTAATAGTGTTGTAAACAGTTCGTTCATGTTGATGTATTCCAGCGCTTGCGAGGCTTCTGTACATTGTAGTTTCGTCGTGCGTACCACTAACTAATTCTTGATCGGTAGCATCTGTTTTGTTTCTTAGTTGTTGGTTTGTCTGGAGAACGTCCTCCACTTGATTGTACGTAAAGCTGACGAATGAACCTTCACCCCCCCCCCCCCTTTCTCAGTGTTGCGAAATGCAAAACAGGGGTTTTGCCGTAGAATATCGGAGGCAAAATTGTACATTTGTTCAACAGGGTCATATTTCTTTTTCTCATTTCGCATGCTAAAACATCTGAAATGAAGGACAATAGAGGGAATAGAGTACAAGAAAAAAAAAACGGACGCTCCGCGTACTGCAGAACACAAATTTGGCAACCAAAAAGTCCAGAATTTGCGCAGTTATTCAGTCGTTCTAAGGTAGTTCTGATTTTAGAAAAGCACTATTACCGTTTAAACCAAGGAAACAACGTAGCCTTCTGGGATACATCCCATTCTTGAGTGACATGAGTTTATCAATATGAGAACGGTCAAAATTTTATCGAGAAAAATTTTATAAAGTACATACAATTTCAAACAGAAAATGAGACCAGCCGACGAGATATAGGGTTAAAACTCGTACTTGCATAGCACATGACAGTTAACAGGATTAACAAAATTACAGAAAAAGTGAAAAGAATATATATTCACAGGTCCTATGCGAAACCAAACGTTTCATAGCAAAAACATGACACACAAGTTAATGTCCAACACTAGATCACTCTTTGTTTTTACAGCTGCCAAAACATTTCGAGAGATCAGTAAAGACAGGTCCTCTTCATGATTGCAAAAAAGTCTGCTTCTGCCACTCGTCCTTCTGCATCTTTGCTAGCTTCCTTGATCATCTCCTCTAAGTCTTCTTCGCTCAATTCTTCACCAAGTTCCTGAGCAACCTGTGGTGGAGTTTATAAAGTGATTTATAGAGAGTGCCTAGAAACCACACTTGCCTGTTTGAGATTTTCCGCCGTTATCCAGCCTTTTCCCTCTTTGTCAAAAAGCTTGAATGCGCTGCGCATTTCATCAGCAGTCTCGTCTTTCTCTCCACCATCTTCCTTCAGTATCTCAAGAAACTCATCGACATCCATATGATCAGCCTCTGAATCGATAAAACTTTTAGACACCACTGATTGTTGCAAAGACTGCAGCAAATGTGATTATCAAGTACAAGTATAAGTTAAAATGATTGTATTCATTACCTTGATGGCCTCCGACTTTGGTTCTTTGCATTTCCCGAAACCTCATTGTCATTTGGTCGATCTGCGCATTACGTGGATCAAAACCAAGTGCACGCATAACAAGCTGAATAATGCTAATGCTCTCAGACGAAAACGACAAAAATGAAAGAACTCACTTTCAAGTCAGATAACTTCAACAGATGAGGTTGTTCCTCATTGCACATGGCAAAAGCTGCTTCCACTTCTTTGCGAGACACTTGCGTGGATGAAGAGGAAGAGCAAGACATCCTATATCTAGCGACATAAAAGGGCATTTGAATAGCAAACACCGAAAGTATATGGATGTAAGACTCTTATGAAAAAAAAAACTATAATGATGATTTGAATCTTTATTCGCTTATTTGAAATCAACAATTAGATTGGACAACATAAAGACCTACCTAAACAGCTATTTGACTAGTACCTATATAACACCTACATCTTCCTAACAACTTTATATATTATAGTAGGAGCATCCAAGGTAGATGAATGGGGAAAAAGTGAGGTGCATCTGAACCTGGAGCCATCTGAGAAAGTGTACTTTTCATACTGATACCGTAACTCTTCAGCTACTTGGAGGTCACTAGTGTCTGAAAATCATCTTAAACATTCAAAGCATGAGAATCATAGAGCACTCGCCTAAGCAATTCTTGAAAGACTGTAGAGTAAGAGGATCACGGAGAGTGGACGCAATATAGGCACAACATCCCTGCTTCGCATAAATGCAGGTGCGTAAAACACCACACAAAGCAGGTAGGATTGAGCAATCGTAAACAACATCTGACAAAGTCTTTTTACTAAAATCAGTGTCATGAATAGAGACCTTCAAGCACACCTGCGGCTATAACTACATCTGGAAGCTCTGGCAAATGGCCGGCGCTAAATGAGGTCCAGTCCAGGTTTAGCACTTTTACATGGGAGCAGCCCTAAATGACCATCTCTAACGCTTGCAAAAGGGTATGATAAAAAGTACTTTTTTCAGATTTTCGTCAACATTGTACTTGAGCTGGTTCAGCACTTTTGGGTCATAGTCGGAAAGGAGCACATTACAGCCAGAAAAAGTCCGCGCTACGGCAATACCTGAAGGCAACCTAGCAAACAGAAAAATCAGATAGATTCAGATTTGACCAAGTGACATAAACTGACAAAAAGCTCCTTACCTTATGTAAAACACTATCATTCAAAATCAGATTTAAATTTCTTATAACACGTTAACGAAAATTCAAGTCTTCTCGCAAGGGTACAATAAATAATCAAGCTGTCTTTTCGCTGAATATCAAGCAAAACTGCCACACCTGCTAGACCGCATCCTGCACCAAGCTCGAGAACAATTTTGGACGACAAGTCAATGAAACGACAAAGAAGATTGGCCAGATCACAAGATGCCTGAAAACTCAACAATCATGCAATAAACGACTTTTAAACGTATTCAAAGTACCTGCCATAAAGATAGGCCTGTGGTTCCATAACACAACTGTTGATTTGATTCTCGAAGCACGACAAGAAGTTGACTGAAGTTGTCATTTAAAAATATCCGATAGGAATAATCAGCAGTGTCTATCATGGCAGATGCACAGATATCGTAAATCTCGTCCAACACTTCAACGCCAGAATGCTCCAGCTAAAAAGATTATGAAAAGATAGTTTTGGCGAGAAGCGCATCTATAGAAAACTTGCCTTTTCAATCAAAGTCTTTAGAAGCTTCCGTCTATAGCTAGTCCGGATAGAATACTCGTCTAGCAACTTATTACAAAGCACGCTTTTCACAAAAATTTGGTAGAAATTCTCATCTTCAGAACATAAGTTGACCAAATCATCTAGAACCTCCTCAGATATCTTCGAACCAGCAAAATAGCGACGAATAAACGTTTGCGCAGTCTGGAACGACTCATGATATCCATCGCAGCGCTTTGCTGTAGTAGAAGAAAATGCGGTCAAGTCGTGCAAATAATGGTAGATCAAACTTAGAAGAAACCCACAGGTCCAAAATCATTTACAGAAATGCCTGAACACCTCTCAATGTCGATCTTTTCTGGTGACTTTAGTGAACTTCTTGCGGGCGATATTGACGTCTACAAAGGGATATTTTCACAATGTAGAAACAAGAAAAGAAAACACGTACTATAAGCTGTTTGAGGCTCGACGTAGTCTGGCCGGTCGTAAGGGATTCCATAATGTTCAGCTTGTACAATACGTTTCTCTGCTTCCAGTATCAGTTCGGCAATTCGATTTGGATCAGATACCTGGAAATCGCTCTCGTTGCTGCAAAATTTTCAGAAACATAGATGTGGGTAAAACAAATTCAAGCATAGCACTATAAGAACCAAAAAGATTTGAAATTTAAACACTTCAAATACCTCTTTGTTTTCGCGAAAGGTCTGCTTCGCCTCATTCACGATATCCTTGCGTTCTATCAACGTCCGCTCAGCATCTTTAGCTTTCCAGTTTTTCGCTAAAAATCTTTGCTGATGACACAACAGGTGAGGGGTGAAGAACCCACCAAGCTTCAAGATCTGCTTATACAATCCCAAAACTCGGCTCCGGCTAGAGGCAGAGGCCGCACTGGACATAAAATCACAATCTGAAACCAACAATAACAAGAAACTACATAAGAACACGCTCTTGGTGTTTCGATGGAAGAAAAAAAGAATATGAGGAGGATGCGCAGAAGATGATCCCAAATATTTTTGGTGATGAAAGCTATTCAAGACAGCAGCCACCTAACGAGAATCTGGAGTTTCTTTCTTAGATACTTTTAAAATTGGCTTTTCACAGAACACATCAATTCGGTAAAAATATCAGGATCTTCCTTCAGGGTCCCCCAAGTATTCAAGTCTTTTTGTTAATACAGTTTGACAGTTTGTTTGGTGGAGTACTACCGAAAACACTATAACGGTAGCTAATTAATGACTTGTTGTTCCCGAAATGTGGTAAATAATGGAGGACGGACGTGAGATCCCCTGCGCGGTGTGATTGCACAAATCGATGTACGAGCGACATTTTTGCGCATGTTTTTGATTTTGCCTCTGGCGCAGCTGCCCTGACTGTTGTACTTATAAAATTTGCCATTGGTTTATACTCTGTTGACAGCACTTTATAATTTTATTGGCTAAAAGGTGTTTTCCCTCTAACTTGCCGCCAGCAGGAGTCATTTTTTGTTGTGTCTCTTGCTTTTCTGACTGGGAACCTGTACTGATAGCATCTCTGAATTTTCCATTTAACGATTTTCATTTGTATCGACGATCCATACTGTCTTATGTGTGAGAACTGTATTTCTCATGCGTCATAATGCATAAAGATAAGAAATGTCTAGCTGTCAATTAGCAGTATCTCTCACATGTATACCATGAGCGTTCAATTTTTGATGTCCTCTTTCCTTATCCAGTTCTTTCATTTACTCGCTATGGCACACGCCGTTCTTGATCCACTTGATCTGCTTCATCCACTTCCAAATGATTAATTCAGAACTGACCAACAGCGAAGTGGATCGAGTAGGCGATGTGGATCATCCGCTTTATTATTGGTCAGTTCACTGATTTGTCCACTAGCGAGATGAAGTGGATCATGCGGTCAAGCGGATCAACTATGGCGCGTGCCTATAAACCTGAATAATTTGAATCTGATGAACCCATAGTGCACTTGACCTACATTTCAATTGCGGGTAAAATTATGATAATGGGGCGCAGATCTTATAAGCGCACGTGTTTGTTACTGTATTGTTTCACCGTTTTTGACGTCTACAGACTGAAAGTAGTTGGTGGTAGGTTCCAAATTATTTTTTTACCGAAATTTGTTTGTAGTATTTTTAAACGAAATAATGCTTCTTGTCACAGATGCTGAAAAGCAGCGTCCAGGCAAAGGAAATAGAGGGGTAGGCCCATCAGTTCAAGCAAATAGCGAAAAGTCTTTGGACCGAGTCAGAGCCCAGAAAAAAAAACAAAATCACGCCTGGACCTCTTTTACTGGTGCACGCCTTGTAGCTTTCCTACGCGCAAATGAGGTGCGCAGTGCGAGTGCACCGATTTACCATAATAGTCTACTCGACTGTGCACGCTATCGCTCTCTTCGCTTTTACTGAGCAAAGCCCAAAAGGGGCTAAGAAGTTTTTTTAGGAATGAAAACTATAGATGTGCAAAACCACTCCTATGAAGTGCCCATTCGACGCATTTTGCACATCTTCGATTTGAATCCTTTTTATTTCTGTGAGGTAAATACCTTATAGATTGCGTATGGCATAGTTGTAGTTAATGTATACAGGGATATCAACTGCTGCTTGACTTCCTCCACGAACTCAATGATTCAGTGCTGAACGTCAAAACATGTGACGATATCAGTGTCAGCGAAAATGCAATCAAAGTGATCGAAATGCTAGATAAAATGATGGTTGGTTGGATAACAAATAAATGTCTCGTTTTGATTTAAAAAAAAAAAATCAAGGCTTGGATGGAACAATTCCCACCAGAGGAGGATATACATCAGAGGTACGGTAATAAAGCGTACAGGAAATGGTATGATCATTTACTCCAGGTGACGACATCTGTCGATTGTATATGATTACTTAACCTTGCGCATCAAAAAGGTGTTCTAGGAGCTAAATAATGTCGTTGGTGCCATACTACCAGATGAATTAAAACCAGCCACTGTTGAGTTGTGTGCTTACCTTGAAGATTCCTTTGGAAACTCTACTCGTATCGATTACGGATCAGGTAATTAGATATGTTGGTAAAAACAGAATGGTTGAAGCGCTTCACATGCTCAGCTATCATTATTACAGGTCACGAGTCTTCATTTGCCATATTTCTGTTATGCTTGTATCGCATCGGATACTTCACGAAATCCGATAATCGTGCAGTCGTACTTCGGGTTTTTGTCAAGTATGTTCTTTGAGCACTAGCAGATTATTCCATTTTTTCCACTTTGTTATAAGTTTAATTTAACGATATGTTCCGAGAAATGCTATAAAACATTATGTATATGTGCCATTGATTTAGACCCCTTCGTTTACCCAAATTTGAGATTAGATTGGATTCATGCAGTGCAGTAGCGAGGTCTCTATTCATGCGATTGCCCAAATCTCGCTGCTGAAGGTGTGTTCCGAACCGAAAAAAACCCTGCAATAAGTGGTTGCTGTTGGGGTCGCCAAAACGCCCGTCAGTATGGAATGTCTGGGAGTAATGAACCCGCAACTAGACGAACACTCAGAAATGTCAAAGATATTGTTCACATTGAAGGACTTCCGATATTATTATATCATTGCGTTTGTTTTCGGGCTCTCGATGTGTCAGGAAACTTCACATTCATGGGCGTGGCGTTCATAGCAGCATCCATCTTCCGCGCTATTCTCGCATCGGATTGAACTTTTGCAGCTAGACTTGGGTAATTACTTCATTAGGGCCTCGCCATTGTAGTACATCTGACCAACCTTAGATTTGGGGGACGTGCCTTCAATTCTTAGTTTTCGCTGATTTTGTCGATAATAACTTCGATTCTAATCATGTCCTTCCAGATATTTACACCTATGTCGTACTCTTCAAACTACTTATAAAATGGAACCCGCCGGCAGCCAGGGTGTGCATTCGATTGATGATTTTCAATTTATTCCTTTTCTTTGGGGAAGTGCGCAGTTGGCTGGTGAGCCGTTGAACGTCACGATTTGAAAGCTTTGTACATCACTTACATACCTTGAAATGATTCAGGTAACAAATCTCTTGTACCTGAATCTTATTTGAAACCTACTACGGTGGAAGCCAATGCACACAAGTACCTCTTTTTTGATTGCGTGAACTTCATCAACCAGGTAAGACTTGTGCTCTAATTATGCCCTAGTCAGAATTGATTTTTAGACAAAGAGTGGACCTTTTTATCAACATTCCAACCAGTTATGGAATATCTCCGCTGTTCCCACCTGGACTAAGGTGAACAGTGGCCTGTTCAAAATGTATGAAGGAGAGGTATGTATAAAATAAAATTAGAATTTCAAAATTCCCCATAGTACAATGGAAGTACAACACTAGCTTCCCCTTTTAGGTTCTCAAAAAATTCCCTGTGGTGCAGCACTTCCGCTTTGGCACACTGTTTTCATTCGAAAAGCGATCTGAATCTGACAATAACGAGACAAACACTCCGCATCCATTGAATACTGCAGATGCTATCGCCCCACAAGACGTGGACGGTTCGCTTTCACCTCCGCTTTCTCCACATCTACCAAAAATCGATGAATGAACTAAGACTGGCTTGTGATGAATTGCTTATATGTTCTCGTTTGTATTACTGGTAATATATATCCTTAGTCAATTCGTTTGCTCCTTTGTTTATTTAGAATGGTTTCATATCGTTTATAGGTAGCCAAATTGCAAACCTTATTAGAATTAGCTCTGCATGATAGCAAAGATTACCCAGTATATGGCTAAGAATGCTTAATTTTCTGTTTTTCTGTTTGTATCCGCATAACACTATATTTATAGGATGATGAGATATATACCCGTGCGAAAGCTGAGATGGTCGCCCATAAAAATTGCAGAATGTACAAGAAATAAACCGGTTTTCTTTCATAAACTCAAAACACTGATTACTTGCTTTAAAGTCAGCTACTCAAGCATTGGTAAGCCTGGTTTCAAATCTTCCACAATAGCGCGCAGTTTTTCAATAGCATTGCTTAGATTCTTTAGCGTATTGGTTCCTTCCATTTCGATCAGCTCATCCGCTAGCGCCTGAAACTTATCAATAAAAGTGTGCGAAGAATCAAGCCATTGCAAACGTTCAGTTAAAGGTTTCATAATTATTCAGACTTACCTTAGCAGCGTCATAAGCCGGGTACAATTTCCCATAGAAAGTTCGCATCCTTACCAGAGCGCCAAATAGATGTACTTGCATGTTCTCCATATGTTTTTGCTTCTTGCGTGGTCTAGACATAAGCGAAATCACGTTCAAGCATTTATAGAAGTAGACAAAACACTAACGTTTTACATGCTGCATCATAGTCAGCAAGAACGCAGTTCAATAGTATCCTTACTACAAAAACCGAAAATTATTGAAGAACTGCTATACAATTAATACGGATTCATACGGTACTTTGCTCTGGAGAGAAGTGTAAACCACGCTTTCGCTGACATTCCAGCACTTCTCCATACAAAAACGATCGCTCTTTTGGTTCTAAATTATAAGATGTGGGAGCAATTTACCGAGGTATGGATACAAATTGCGGAATCAAATGAATACAAAATTCGCTATGGTAATCAACTGTGCTTATAGCATTCATAACATTTTTACTGAAATCATTCAAGGGACTTACCATTCCCGCCTACGGATCCTACGTACATCTCAGCTATTGTTTCAATGATCTTGTGTCCATCAGGCAGTGCATTTCGGTATTGTCTATAATCTTTCACATTTGGCAGCGACTTCAGGATCAGCTGAAAAAGAAAAACGTATTTTCTAGCACTCTTGAGATCGAATCTCAAATTACATCAGGATGCTCTATGATAGGCTCCAACTTGTCGTCGATAGAGTCGTCTGTCAAGCAAGTCGGACATTCACAAGTAAATCCACGGCCAGCTAGAAAGCCCTGAAGGTCCTGTGATTAGTGTCGCAAAAAGGGGACAAAAGCTTATTGCTTACAGCACGTTCTTGCCTCGTTTGTTTGAAAAATGAAGCACCATAATTATCGCATATTTCTTCACCTTTTCTTATACCCATACTGATGAAGATCAATTTATTTTTATAAAAACTGAAATACTTGAGTATTTGATATTTTCTAAGAATTGAGATACAATATATGCTAATCTAAAATTGTGGAAAGCAGGCAGAAACGCTTACAAGCTATTCACATTTGCACGACAGGAATGATTAAAACAGCAAGCAATTGGGAAGAGGCCAACGCCAGACGGCATAGGTGGTATTGCTCCCCTAGAAATCGATGGACGCTTTCAAAGTAACAGATGGGAGCAAACAGTAACCTACTCAGCATGCCTTTCCAAGCTATCCACAAAGTATATAGAATGGGCGTTTCTCATGAGCCTGGCAGAGATGAGCTTCAAAAGAGTTCGAAAATATGCAGGTCGACGACCACGTGGGATCATTTTCCATGAAGGATGCTGAATACCAATGAATAAGGGTAGGTTTGTTTTTGAGAGCTAAATTGATCGAAGAGGTCTTCTTCAGAACTTCGGGATTATGGATAGAAGACAACCCAAAAAATTTCAATGCCACGCCTCTCATTCAAGGAAAATTATGTCGCGTCCACCGGAGAAAACTCTTAGACTGCTCTCGGAAAAGGAAACACGCTGAATGAATGCAAGCGCCTCAAAACAAATGAGCCTTCTGCCGCCCTGACAAGAACAATTTAGAGGTTAAGCAGTTTGACACGATCTAGATTGGCCGAAAAGTGCAGTCTGTTTTTGAATCTTGTACGCCCAATCCCTACAGAATCGAAATTCATTTTTGATCTTATATGTCCTACTCTTTCTAAGTTCATGGTGATCAGATGCCTAGTGTTATTAATTTGGAATTTCAATCCCTAGAGGATGGGTAGGACGAAGGTAACCCATATAGGAGAATTTTCTTACCTTGTCCAAACAGCCAACTATGTCCTTCACCAGCGAATCTGTCGCTGACAAATCAACAGGATAATCATCTGTTTGCAGAGAAAGTGCAGCTACAACGGATGATTTCATAGCATCCATGTCCAACACCTCTGCTGCTCCAGAAACTGAACGGCAAAACCTCTATTCTGATAGCATCCAGAACAAACTAGAATCACCTTGTGGGAAATCTCCGCTTTTCAAGCAGGATAAAATCTCATCGGGAGGATATGAAAGGACAAGATGCATTGCTAATCGGAACATACCGAGTTCCTGAACCTTCGCGTTGCCAGAAATATTATTTCGTTTAGTTGATTACCTTCAACTGATTAGCAAATGACCGTTCTATGCATCCGTAAAGCTCTTCATTTTTGGTGCAAGACTCGCAATATCTGGAGTATTCCTGTATGCAAGTTAGATTTGTACAAAACTGGATCATACGTAGTCTTGCAGTCTGTGGGAAGACTCGCTAAACAGTAACAGCATAGGTTTTCATCAAGGTTCACCACTTTGCCTTCATCCACACATACAACTTCACCACACGGAATGTCTCGAGTAGCCTACAAACGTTTTTTAAAACTAAGCCTGATATTCTTGTATTGAACAAGAGAACAGGTCTTACGTACCACTCCATGTCTTCCCTTTTTAGAATCGTAACGAAGCGAAACGCCATCAGATAGTTCTGATAAGGAATTATGCTTTGTGAAAAGAGGAAAAAAGTCGGTTTCCATTTCCTGCTGGTTTATTAGAAGTTTTACAAATGATATAACATAGATGTTTTCCAAAAAATACATGTAAATACAAGTAACAACAATAAAGCAACTCAGAGTGATGAAGATTTATACACGGACAACATGGCACAGTCCAAGTAATAAATTAACTGCTATCTCACTCATCCGGAACAACCACGACATCCACAATGTACGCATTCGATAACTCTATCTGCATCGAGTTTACTTTTCGGAACACGGCAGATACAATTTGTACCGAAGTTGGTGTCTCGCGTTTGAACACATCTAAAAAACAATATTAGCGCTACTCCAATCAACTGATAGAGACCATGATTTATAGCGATAGCTATTTTATGAGAATTAAGTCGTAGATAATCTTGAAGAAAGCAATTTTTATCAGTTGTAAACAAAAACTCAAAGATCCAGGACTTAACCTACAAAAAAATCCCTAATATGAAACATTTATAACATCATTTCCTTGAAAGCTTAGGACCATCATGAGGTCATTATCGTTTGAGAACAGCCATTTTAGTCACGTGCTATTTGCCATGATTTTGATGAAAAAAGGTGATAAAAAGAAACGTTCAAAAGTATTACCTCAGACAGCACAGATTCTCATATCCCTGTTTCTTCCATTTGGCTATGAGTTGAGCGTCAGCAATTTTCGTTGCTAAGCAGAACTCATAAAGCTCCCGAGAGATAGCCTCGCGTTTGTAGTAAAGATCGTAAATGTATCTGGTCCTTTGATGATGGATTCTGCAAGTATAAAATAGAATCTGATGGAAGTCCACATGGTTTCTTCCTATAAGCAGCACTAATAAGTGATGATGAAAACGACACCTTGTGTCCTTCCTTGTTTGCATTTTTGTAATGAACTCTAAGATTTGACACATTTCGGACATGGTGCAGCACGCTGCTTTGAAGGATCTTTTTGAGTTCACAGGTTTTAGTTAGTCCAAAATTATCATCAAAGATCTAAGCTTCTACTCAAATACTCTGTAGAGTTGTGCCGCCGATATTTGTTTAGGAGATATGAGCACAAATGGAACAACAGTTGTAACGAAGTGCGGCAACGCGAACGGCGCGTGCAACGTCGCAACTTTTCTTTGCCTCGATATCAAAAAGAAAAACCGTAGTTTCAAAACTGATGTGTACCGTTTAGAACATAGATACTTCTGGATACTATTGGAAACTGAGTTCTTGCTCCTATCTTTCAGGAAAGCACAGAAGTCCTCAAGCGACAAAAACTAAACACTGCGATTTTACTCAGAAACTTGGGTATGGAACTTATATGACAGACTGATTATATTAGGTTGTCCCGAAAGTTCTGTCGATTCATTTTTGAAAATTCGTAACTATTTGCTGTTTCAACGGATTTGCTTCCTTCTAATAACATTAGTAAGAAGAGGTTTTCCTCTCCGTAGAGGTACCTCGAAGAGCTACAACTATACATTGATTGCAGAGATAAAATTAGAAAAAGAAGACCACTTGAGCTCAGATCAATTTAAGTTGGCATGCCAAAAGTCTGGAACACCGCAGAAAAATCTGAAATCGTCAGTATTTAAGTTTTATGACCTACCATTTGCGTATGGGAAAAATTGTGCTGTTTGGACGTTTCAATGAAAAGTTATGATTTTCGAGAAAAGTGACAAATTAATCAAATTTGGCGTTTCCCATTTAAACTCGAAAATTATAACTTTTCACAAAAACGTTGAAACAGCACAATTTTTCTCAAATGCAGAGAATGGGTCATAAAATTTATATACTGGCAATTTCTGATTTTTCTATGGCGTTCCAGAATTTTGGCGACCTCAAATGGTCAAAGCTCAAGTGGTCTTCTTTTTCCAAATTTATCTCTGCAGCGAATGTATAGTTGTATCTCATTGAGACACCTCTACCAAGAGGAAGACTTCTTCTTTCTAATGAAATTAGAAAAAATCAAATCCGTTGAGACAACAAAAAGTTACAGATTTTCGAAAATGAAACGACAGAACTTTCGGGACAACCTAATAAATGTAATACACAGTCTACGAAATAAGGCCCCTTTGTTGGCTAATGGCTGAAAGTGCACACTTTTTTCGCCGCGCGCGATTTCGCGGCCCGAAATGTGTTGAGCAGTTAAACTACTTGTATGTGAACTCATGATTTTGCTTGCAATGAAAAATTGCCAAGTTATTATCAAATGACGGAATCAGTCAAGATGATAGACTTTCGGAGTCAGACGTACCTAAAGATTGGCCATAGCGTCTCAGTCCGCCTTTTTCCCTCATGCGGATCCGTTTCAGCTTCACGCATTTTCGCTTCAAATTCCTCCAGCGTAGGTTCGATGAGATCCCATCCTTCTGGAGGCTGTTTTCGCGTCCTTCGCAGCTTTGTAGTCAGTGACATCTCAAAAAGGAGCATTTAGAAACGCCATGGAAAAGCAGAAAAGCGACAATGAGCGGTCAGCGGGACTTTGACATGAAATTATATTAGGGTGAACGGTAAAAAATGGGACACCTTGAGAATAATTGCAGATTTCTCAAGGAAGAAAAGTGACTGAACTTTCCAATTTTGATGGATATTAGAATAAATTATTCTCTTTCAGATAGCACCTATATAAGGTCATTTAAATAATTGATAATTTTTATACTTGCTAAAATGCAAAGTTAGTTACTTCGAGAAATTATGAAGTTTGAGCAGTATCGGCGCAGTGAAACATGTGAGACCACCCAAAGTACCGCTGCTGGAGTGAGTGGTGGGACAGTCACCAAACCCACGACGGCTTGGTGGCTTTAACTCTCAATGTCAGGAGATATGCCCATTAACAGCTTCGAAAATAAAGATACGCGTTATTCAATTCTTTGCAGGTAAACGCATGATTTCTAGGTATCGTCTGATAGAGCTTTTTACGCTCTATCCATCCATATGCAGCTTACTTCAGATTTTATCTATCTTCGGAAAATATAGGGCAAAACATGATTTTTTGGTTTTTTGTTGCGCCAAAAATAGCTATTTTTCAGGTTTTTTCGAATTTTTTTTCTGAAATTGAAAAGAAATCTCATGCATTTAACATATCGTTCGAAAGAGCATGAAGAGCTCTTTCGAATGGTATGTCATTTGCTTTACAACTTTACGGTATAACAGCGCAAGATTGAGGATTGTGCAAAAAACTCTGTTCGAGTTCTTCACGGCGCCACGTGTAGGGTAGTGGAAGAGGAGCGTTAACGCGTTGTCAGAATAATAAGCGAAGGTCGCCCATGTAAGCGACGTTTAAGTTGTTGCTTACTTGCTATTGCCAGAAACAAAAAATTCCAAAATGTAATGAAAATCAAGCTGTCCCATTTTTTACCGTTCACCCTAATACTTAGCGACGACAACAAACACCAGCACAGTTCAGTTCCAATAAAGTCGAAGAAATCCGAGTTTTCACAAAAAAAAGAATAAACAACCTCAAAAGAAAAACGGGACAAAATAACCAGCTTTCATCAAACAAATACGAAATTTTCATGAGTCGTCATAATGGCGCAGCGGGACGCAATTGCGGCGGCGGGTGTGATGCACGACTAAATTTCCGGTGTCGTCTGAAATCGTAGATTAGGCTGTAATTCGAGTTGAGCAAGAGGTCAGGCACAGGTTTTTCGGAAAAGGCACTCTCCTCCCTCAGAAAAAGCAGCCAAACAACCCCTTCTTTATCGGTGGATTTTGAGATGTATCCCCCGTTTTCCGTGACTACATTACAAGCACGCGTGTTTTGATGACGGGTTTTGATCTGGAAGGCCTACTGAAAGAGCGAGAAATTCCTAAGGGGTGGGGTATTTGGCTCCAAATTTCCACAGTAGCAAGAAGAAGCTATGAGCTCAATACTCATGTAAGAAAGAAGATTCCTGATTTTTGAAGACAGGTTAAGAGGTCAGAGGTTACAAAAACTCAGGCAGCCTAACCCTCGTTAGGGCTGTGCCTGAACCCCTTACCTTCATCACTGGAAAAAGCTTTCCCACCCTAGCTCCACGTGATTCTCTAGCACAATCCTCAAAGATTTTACATTGGGTGCTTAAGCTCATCTCGACTTGATTCGGCTTTGTGGTAATCGGTGGAGTTGAAGCACTCAAGGTGGGTAACGCGGTGATTGAACTTCTGGCAGCACTTCTTGATCCACTTTTTGGAAGCGATACGAAATTTTTTTACCAGAGACCGATAAAGAAAATTACTTCTTTATGAGTACAAGAAAGCTGACTTCTTTCACTTTTGTGGCCAAGTTGACCATGTTTGAAGATCACGCTTTCGAGATGTTGAAACAACAGAAAATGTATTTAATATAATGGTTTGGAGCTCGTAGAGGTAATTCGACATGCTGATTACGGAAATCATACTCAATTTACACTGCAAACCTCTTTTGTTTTTATTCCCAACCCTATGGTGGGGAATGAAAACGTGTTTTCCTCCCGGTTTGGAAAAACAAAAAAAATTACAGAATGGAAATATATCATCTTGAAGTCATAGGGAGGAGAAATCATCAAAGAGTAGACAAACAGAATCATGTTTGCAAATTATTAATAACTAAACGCAGAATATTGATTCTTTTTGCATCAGCCGTACTCGTAAAGTTGCTGTTTTATCAACGAACTGCGAATATGAAGCAAACCTTCTTGTACATCGAGATTTTTCTAGTTTTTAACCTTATGTTAAATGTTATTCAGCATCATTTAACGTAAAGCTTGTCGCGTTCATGGATATAAATGACCGCGAAGTAGACAGGAAGAATCTTCATCACCATCGCTTAACAGTCATAAAACATTAAAACCCAATTTTTTTGCAAATCAGTTTTTTTTGCAATCGATGCCTAGGAGCAACTGCCCTTCATTTGTGCAAAAACAATACAAACTCTAATGGACTGAGGTATGCGTTTTGGACTATCGAGCGACCATGTTTTTACTGATGAAGAAAACAATGCTAAGCAAAAAGTTCTTGTTTTCAAAATGATCTTACTGTGTTGTATTATGTCTTATGTAATGACTTAACGAATACGCAGGTCTTGCCAAAATCTTCTAAGTCTAATCTGCTCTAGTTCCAATGAATTCGTTTAATTCATAAATCAGAGAAAAAACCATGAGCTATTTTTGTGGCCTTGAAGCAGAGTTAGCATGTCACAATGCAAGGTGTCAGAGGAATTGTCGAAATGTATTTTTCTAATTTTGAATGCCAAAAGATTCAATAAAATTCTTTAGTCTTTCATGTTGCTCGAATATTTCTTCATAGAGCTACTTTCAACGTTTTTACTTGCCTTTGATTTTGTTTCGAGTAAAATCTCTGATGTTCGTAGTTAGAAAAAGCACTGATATATCACAACGAGATTAGAAGCGAAAATCTATACAGTTTTTGACCATTTCTAAACGAATCTTCAAAATTATTGCAGGACTTATGGATTAAGGTGGTAAATAAATACTTTGTTCAATCGGTTTGATTCTTCAAGCTGAGCAATAATGTAACCGCTAGCGAATTCCAAGACTGTGTGAGACTAAGCCGATAAATCACTAATCTGTTCGGGTGTTAGCTGCGCTCTTACAACGTGCAAATTGCGGCGGCAAAGCAGTACTTGCGAACTATTGATCTAATATTATATTTATTTCTTATCATTATTACTGTATTCGCTATATTATTTATGTTTATTTGTATGACTATAATCGCTATATTCAACTATATCTATTATATTCTGCTATTCTTTTACTAATTCACGTGTATTGTGTGCTATTGACTACTAATCTTAACGATTCAATCATATCCTCATGCAATTCTTTTTGTAAAAGACAACACTCTTTTAGGCCCCATAGTGCGCCGCATGCACTTCATAATCCTTGCTTTCCTCTCGAGTACCTTGTCATGATAGCAGTATCATTTTTTAAGAGAGCTTTTTTTTATTTAAAAGTAAAGGAAATAAATTACCATGATGTAATTCTTCCAAAACTCTGGGCTATTTTCTTCTCAAGACTGATGATTTGATTTGGTGCAAATCAGGCATGCTCTTTCCTCTCTGAATAGAACGGAGATGCAATTTTTTAGCGATGGCCCTATGAACAAGCGTCTGGCTTGAGCAGTGATCTTAGCTTGACGTTCGTTTTTTCTAATGAGTCAGGTCATATCGCTAAACAATTTTGACATTCTAAGATCGTAGTGCCTTTCGGACCCAATCGCATTTCTCCTTCACCCGTGCCCAGAGCCGTCATTCCATGTCAGGAATCAAGGCGTGTACGGGCCCTTGCCTGAAAATGTGGCAGTGTTACAATGTATTGGACATAAGTGCTTACAAATATTACTAAAGATATAAAACTAAACAAAGGGAGTAGGGAAAAGGGGGCTGTTTTTCTCTTTTAGTCTTGGGCAGAGAAAGAGGCTGACTTAGCCAAGGCGACAGCTGATTTGGAAGTCGCCAGACGTGAAATTGAGAAACTGGAGCACCCACCACCGTGCTCAAGGTGTGCTGAGCTTCAGAAAAATTATGAAGAGTGCCAAGTGCACTTTAGAATATTGGTTGCAAAAATGCGTGAGACGGAGGCCGCTGAAAAGGCTCGAGTTGTGGAACGGAGAAGGAACATGAACTTGAGTAAGGTAATGTTGAGGAATTGTGATGCTATATATAAGCGTTTGTTTTCTAGAAGGTTCTCGAGTTGAACGAGGATCTACATAACGTTAGGCGTCTATTTTTGTACAACGAAGAGCTTATACGCCAACCTCAAACACTACTGGAGGAGGCGCTCTTTGCGGAAGAGCTCGTATTATCTTGGTTGATTAGGGGGGAAGTGCGAGAGACTTGGTTGAAGATTCAATGGAATAACACGGTTCAAGTTGCCGTCATGATTTTGAATAATGATGGTGATGGATGGATGGATTTAATGGATAATTATTACTTTTTTGTAAGTAAATCGTACCTGTTGTTGAAGAGTTGATTGGGCTGCTGTTCGTTGCAGTTGATTACGGTAGTAGTTTCCTCGGCTAGCTTCCTTGGCTGAGCGGTGAATCGGCGCGATTTAGTTGAGCGAGAGAGCGGCAAGAGAGAAAAAGTGTAAGGAAAGGTGTGAAGTCTCAAGATGAGGAGAAGGTTGGTTGTGATTTGACTGAAGTTACTCGGGCTTATATAGTAGACAAAAAGGTGCAATATCTATGGGTGTGGGTGGAGTCTTACAATGTATTTTCTGAAAATGCTATGTAAACAACTTTCGTAAACAGTTGGTTGCGAAAGTTATTTTTAACTTTTCAGCTTGATCTAGTTAATCCATGTAATCTTTATCTTTGATAGTCTTAGTGAGAAGTTTTTGATTATTCTAGATTGCGTGAAATTTTAAATGTACTGTAGAAACGTGTAAAAAATTTTTCGCTGCGCTCTCATGCTCTCGAGATCTGATTGGAAGTGCGATTAATCAAGCATGCTCTTCCCTCTCAAGATAAATCGGAGGTGCAATTTGTCAAATTTTTCCCCTTATGAATAGGCGCGGAATGGCGGAAGGCGCGATCTTATCTTGACTTTGTTTGTCCTATCTTAATCTGCTTTTTTATTGAAGATCTAAAGTTACATCGCCGATTGAAATTTAATTTGTTTTTAAGATAAACAATGCCTTTCGGAAGAATCGGTATTTTACCCTCGCCGGTGCCAAGTCTACCCAGAGCTGGTACTCCTGTGTACCGTTTGCCTAGAGCTGTTAATCCCGCGAATTCGAGAGGTAACACCCCTGATTCTTGGGATGCCTGTATGCTCCTCCACAAAATGGCTCCAACAATAGTCGTTTTCCGACTCCAAACAGTATGGCTGAATTAGTTATAAAAATAATTTTATCTTTTTGTAGTCTTGCGTAGGGAAGTTAGAGGCTAATTTAGCCAAAGCGACCGCTGCTTTGGAAACCGCAAGGCGTGAAATTGATAAGATAAGATCGAAGCGCCTACCATCGTGTCTAATGTGCACCGAACTTCGGAAAAATGTCGAAGAGTGCCAAGTGCACTTTAAAATGCTAGTGGCTAAGAGTATGCGTGAAACAGATGGCGCTGAGAAGAGCCGACTTGTGGAGCGTAGGACAAATATGAATCTGCAAGGTATTGCTTTGAGAAAATGCGATGCTGTATATTAGCGTATTTTTAAGGAGGTCCTCGAGCTAAGCGAGGACCTTTGCAACATTAGGCGTTTATTTGCGTATAATGAAGTGGTCGTGCGCCAGCCTCAAACTTTATCGGAGGAGGCGCTTTATGAGGAGGAAATGGTACTCCCTTTTTTAATCAAGGGAGATGTTCAAGAGACGTGGATGAAAATCCAAACTGGCAATACCGTTCAAATCAGCATCCTCATTCTCAGTAACGACGGGGATAATGTTACACTCTCCTGTAAGTTAGAGAAAGAAGCTTTTTAAAATTAGATATGTTGATTTATCTTTAAGGCGTTCTACACAATACACATAGTAAGCTATTTATTATGTGTACTGCGGCGAACTGGAAGGCGGATAGAACTCGTGTAATTCTCCATTTTGGTGATTTAGTTATCACAAAAATGGTGAAAAGGCGGTGCACTGGTGACAAAACACTGGTGCGAGGCACTACTAACTCAGTAGTTAGAGAATGTGGCCGATATTGGCCTAACCGCCAGACTTGATGAGAAGCCAGAAGATATGACCGAGCATGACCATTGTAAGGGAATTTGAAGAAGTAGGAGATCGGAGAGGCGACATTGCAGGGAAATGGTAGTGACAGGTAGAGGAAATCGTCTTTGCAAAGCTGAGGAAGAGATAGCACTGGCGAAATCTTTTTGAGAGTGCCTCTTTCGTGGAGCCGCTTCCGCGATGGAGATATACAAGATTGCTGGTTGCGGCAAATTTATGAGGAAGTTACACGAGCTCAGGAAGAAGAAATCCATAGTCATCAGCCAGTGATTGCTCATTTGATCTCTAGCAAGAGTGGCAACATGCATGATTGAATACTAGCTCCCAATTCCCTCCTCCCCCTCCTCTCTCCCTTATGTATATATCTCTTCATAATAAACTCTGATGCCTGTACCATGTAGTGTAGGATACACCCTAATACCGCTACATCCTCAGGCAAGGGTACCGCAGCCCCTTGGTCCTGACATGGAGGTCTCCTTGAAAATTTTTTTTGAACAATCTTGATATTCATCATGCCGATGTAACATTGCATCAGGATCACGCCATCGTTGTTTACTGGACCTTGTTTATCAGTACCTCTCTGTACCTCGGATATTACAACCACGTTGTAATACGGAGTAGGTATAAAAAGAGTGGAGTGTTACAACATGCATGACTGGCTGCTAACTCCCAGCCCCTCTCCCCCCCCCCCTTTCCTTCATCTTCCATGCACATCTCTTTGTATAATAAACCTTAGATAGCCTGATCTTATGTCAAATACACCATAACACCGCTACACCCTCAGGCAAGGGTACTGCAGCCCCTTGAACCTGGGGAGGTCCCAGGGAGATACCATTCCGCAAATAGACATATTTTTCTCTCTCTCTCTCTGGAAATAAAAAAAACCACCACCCCCACCCTTCTTCCAATCGTCTTACAAACCCCATTCCTCAGTCGCGACAAGGATGTTCGAACGACAAGTGAGCATTTTTTTATTATTACCACTAACCGACAATGGTGTGTTTTGACACTACCTAGAGCAATCTGAGAATTGCCTTCATAAAGTCCTGCGAGCGGGTACCTTAGGTCAATAAATTACATATTTCATGCATGTAAGAGCGCGGATATTTTTGAAAAAGAAGTTCCGTGCCGTATGATTGAGCGCAATTCTTTGTATTTTTTGAGCGCAATTCGCAGTAGATTTGTTTACAAATTCACCGAGATCCGTGACTTACGTAATTGATTAAGAGATAAAAAGTATTGGATATCAATTATTATTCTGTGCATTAAAGAAAGATGAGGGTATATTGATTGAGATTATAGCTAACATATTGGGATTTATCCCCCAAAATACAGATAATCATCATGAAATTAGAAGGACTCGCTCTCAAAAATTGGTAAAGTATGCATACAAAATCTGAGAATGGCTATACGAAAATATAGCACGTGAAGGCACTGACATTTACAGCTACGCCCAATTCACGGCGCATTGTTTGGTGAATAGATTATTGCATCTTGTTATGAGATTCTTTTCTTAGAAAATTCGCTTTTATTCTCATTGTTTTTTTTGATACTTTATTTCCTTCTTGATGTGTATATACTCGAAAATCGTTTCTGTTTTGATCGTCGTATATACTTATCCAGAAAAAAAATAAGATGGCTCAATCTCCTGCTGATAGCTGGAACGTAGCTGGTGTCCAGGAGTGGACACCGATCAGTCCCAACTATGAACAACCTTCACGTTCCCCAGCGTGGAAAATATGCACGCTGACAATGAAGATGAGGAGCTCGAAAGCATCATTAGAAAACTTGAGAAAGCTCTAGCGGAAGAGCAACGCAGAGTTCGAGAGGTTGTGGATCGCGCACAGGATACCGTAAGTGGGAGGACCCACATGTGACACCTTGAGAGATGATTGTAAAGAAAAGGATCGCCACATCCAATCGTTGCAATCTTGATAAAGAGCGGGCTAGGTTCGAGAAGAATTCGGCCAGTGACCGACAACTCCACTCGGAGTTACAAAGAGTTAGTAAAAATATTTTTTTATTATTTATTTATGTATTTATTTTGTCATGAGATCATTTCATTAGATTGCATAACATTGGGTAATATTGAGTAATATCACATCACTTGTTATGCAATGTCTTACCCCGCCCTAACCGCTGTTATTGTTGTAAGGCGGACCTGCATATAAGAGAGGACTGGAGACCATCAGGGACACTCACACACACCCCTTCCCCTCCCCCTACCTCCATTGTTTAGTTTTTGTATCTTTAGTAATAAACATATATAATCACTATGTTTGACACACCGTAACACCGCTACACCTTTAGGCAAGGGCCCGTACATCCCTTATCCTGACATGGAGGTCCCGGGAAGATTTTTCTTTAAAATTCTTTCTTTAAATTAATTTTTTTAAAGACAAACCCATTTTTATTCGTTCTTAGGGATAAAATTCTATCCTATCCTCCACCCTACCCACCCCAAATGTCGTCCTAATTTTGTAAAGGTTTTCGTTAGCCATTCTCAGATTTTGTATGCATACTTTACCAATTTTTGAGAGCGAGTCCTTCTAAATTTCATGATGATTATCTGTATTTTGGGGGATAAATCCCAATATGTTAGCTATAATCTCAATTAATATACCCTCATTTTTCTTAAATGCACAAAATAATAATTAATATTGAATACTTTTTATCTCTTAATCAATTACGTAAGTCACGGATCTCGGTGAATTTGTAAACAAATCTACTGCGAATTGCGCTTAATCATACGGTCGGAACTTCTTTTTCAAAAATATCCGCCTAAGTCAGCCTCTAGCTTTTCTGCCCAAGACTAAAAGAGAAAAAAATATACATAAAATTATTTTTTTAAGTAATTAAGCAAACTCACGATCCAATCTCCCCCAGGCGGTATTCTTGGCGACGGAGAACGACCATTAGAATCGTTTTGTGGAGAAGCACAAGCCGCATCCCAAGAGTAAGGAGTATTGCCTCTCGAGTTTACGGGAGTACCGGCTCTTCTGGGCACACGGGGTACAGGCGAAGGCGAAGTACTAATCCGTCCAAAGGGCATTCCTTATCTTTAACAAAAAAAATTTTTTATCCGCAAACAACCTCAGATTTTTTTCTTAACAAAAAAATCAAAACAAGACAAAATAAACGAAGTTGTGATAAGATCGCCACTTCCGCTGTTCCACGCCTATTTATAGGGAAAACCAGTTTGACCAATTGCGCCTCCAACCTAACAAATTGCACCTCCGATTTACTGGAGAGGAAAAAGCATGTTTGACTAATTGCACCGGCATGCTTGACTAATTACATCTCCGATTGGATCTTGATACCATGACGCAACGTTACAATAAATATATGAATATATATATAATTCTTTGCGCTATATTAAGACATTCAACATATTCTAGACTAATCAAAAACTTTTACTAATATTACCAAAAGTAAAAATCACATTAATAAATTAAATCAACCAAAAAGTTAAAAATAACTTTCGCAACCAACTGTTTACGAAAATTGTTTACATGCCATTTTCTGGGAACACATAAAATTGTTTACATACCATTTTCTAGGAATACATTGTAAGACTACACCCCAACCCACAGATATTACACCTTTTTATCTACTATATAAGCCCGAGTAACTCCAGTCAAATCACAACCAATCCTCTCCTCATCTTGAAACTTCCACCTTTTCTCATACTCTCCCTCTCTTGCCACTCTCTTGCTCAACCACCTCGCGCCGATTCACCACTCAGCTAAGGAGACTAGCCGAGGAAACTACCGTACAACTGCAACGAACAACAGCCCAATCAACTCTTCAACAACAGGTAAGATTTACTTAAAAAAATAATAATTATCCATTAAAATCAAATCACCTTGCAAATAAAATTAGCAGCATTAAGCTCTGAAACTGCATCTATTGTATGAATAGATCAGACCGTAGAACCCGTTCACATTCACGCAATTCCCAAAACCAACCTAAACAACAGAGACATTCTCAATTTTCGTATACTGAACGCGCAGTTTCGGCACCACCTATAGCGAATAGAACCCGCTCTCATTCACAAATAGCAACATCGCCAGTTTCATACTCTCCTCCTCGGCACAAACGTCTCAATTTTGATTTAAGACTTAAAAGCCCAACTGAAACTAAAACAGGCACAATAGGAATTATCTTAAGCAAGCTCAATACTTCCCAACCCAGTCCATCTTATTCAAATCATCCCACATTACCTGAACAAACACCCGAACACATAATAATAGATCCACCTCCAAAAATGGAACAAAATAACCTAGTAGATCGCCTTGACGCCCTATTTGACAAATTATGCCTTTCTTCCTACTCAACAAAACTTCCAACCTTTTCTGGTGAACAAGGAGGGTTAGATCTTATGAATTTTTTGGAACAATTTGTAGAAATAAGCAATATTATGGGTTTAACGCAGCAGAAAAGAGTTCTCCTTTTACCAGCCCATCTAAAGGGCACCGCAAAAGCAGTATTTGATAACTTTCCGGAAGCTAAAAGCAAATTGGCAACTCGCCATAGATGAATTAGGCAAACACTTCGCAACAGACCATTTCCTAGACATGGCGCGGGAAAAGTTAATGGAAATGAAAATGAAGCCAGGCGAATCGCCTACACTTTTTTCAAAAAGATTAAGACAATGTATCATGGAAGCTTATCCCGAACCTGATCAAGAGCGCAACAGGGATTTTCTCATGCGCACCATTTTAACAACTGCCTTGCCACATAAAATCAAACAAAAACTCAAAGTCCTAGGTCCTTTACCCACTAACTACAGCAAACTCCTGGCAGAAGCTGAACGCATTTATGATCTAACAGAAACCGAAGACCATTATGTTGGAGACACTATTTTAATGAACAAAGTAGACAAAATTCTTAACAATCCACGCGCAAGACCAACTAACGCTATTTTCACGGCAAATCGCTTAAGACGTATACCAACTTACCCATATAACGAAAAGTACAACAAACCTAGAAATTTTACGCGCAACGTACAACCAAACTTTAGAAAAAATTCATTTTACAACAACGAAAGACGTGTATCTTTCAAAACATACCCTACTAACAATTTTCGCGGTAGAGCATACTAGCATACTAGCATAGCATATTTACTCCTTATCCACGTAACAACTTTCGAAAATCAACGCGAAACCGCTCGCCATTTCCGCAAAGGCGCGACAAATCTATATCACCCCTCAGAGCACCTAGAAATCAAAACCATAATAAATTCCAACAACAAAGAAATGTAAACTCTATTTCAACTAACTTTTCCACTGGCATAGGAAATTTCACAAACTCCTTATTCCTAATAGCAATATTTTGTCTTTCACTCATACCTACTGCTGCCATGCCACCCGTGTATCAACTGTGTTCTGCCGGAAAGTCCGGTTGGCCTCCACTGGCCAACCGGACTTTCCGGCTGAACACAGTTGATACACGGGCATATCCAGACATAACATCTTGCACACTCCACAAACTCTACTGATATACGTTTGATAGCAGCATTCGTTTTTGTCAGCGCACGGAACCTTACCTAATACATGCTCACCATTGCTTTAACCAAACCCGTAAAATTTGCGCTTCATCCTATTTGCACATGACATTCTCAGTCAATGACGAAGAATTTATGTCAGCCATCGACCCATCCATATGCAATAGCCTGGCACATACAAAGAAATTTCAAGGCAAACCTCTCCTCTTTCACCTACTGTCTATGGCTCAGATAACGACATCCATTACTCTCACCCTTGGTTTTTTGGAGAAAAATGCACATACACCTATATGTAGAAAAATGAACTTGCTACTTACGGCGGCGATAAATCGATTGGCCAGTTTGGAGATATGGCCAAGCCATGTCCGTGATAATGAATGTAAATTAACACATGGCACCATTGTTTGGAGTACCGGAACCGAAAGACCGTTTGCTTGCAGATATCAAAAAGCTGTATAAGCCGTGGCTTACGTAACCCCAACTCATATCGTACTCGATAATATACAAAATGCGCTAACTTATAAAAATATAACATACAAACCTCATCAAATTTCGTATTGGTGCCTACCAAACCATGCAATAGCCATGGATAACGGAGTCTTTGTTCTATTACCAGAAATTCTTGGTCATAATCCTCGCACAATTTTTGCCAAAAACCCAGAAATAGTAGATGAAATCAATCAAAAACATTTCAAACCTTCAAAAACCTACAAATGGTTAATTTTGTTCGACAAAGAAGACAACGCGAAAGGCGAGACTTTTATAAAGATAAATATGGCAAGCAACATCGTATTAAACGTACCACCCACCTTACCGTACCCGATACCACCCTCCGAAGAATCCAGAAAAATCACAAACAACTTGCCGCACTTTTACTACATAGCAAAAATCCACCATTGACTAAATATTCCGCAAATGACTCAGCAGCTGTAGCTCAACATATAGCCGTACATATCGAACCAGATCTTGCGAACATTAATAATGACGTCATGCTAACGCATGAACAAAGACAAGATCAACGACATTTTGAACTTAACACTCAAATGCAATTTTTAAAAATAAAATTAGAAGACATGATTTTAATTACCTTTTCGACCGTATCTGTAGCCTAACTAACTTTAGAAACCAAGCCATAAAAAGTATTGCCCAAATTAACCCTACAAGCGCAGCCCGAATTTTATTAAACCGTAATGATATTTTTGCTATAGCAGCGGGAGATGTGCTAATGGTTTCGAAGTGTAAAGAAGTACACATAGACGAAATTTATATGGACCATAGTGTTAATGGAATTTGCTATATATTTACCCCAGTACGTATAGGAAAAGATATTCATTTTGTAATACCCGGCACAAAAGATCTAACAACTAGCAGCGCTGAAGCCAATTGTGGAATACAATGATGGTACTAATCTTACAAATCTTCTAAAGGCCTCATAGACGTAGCACAAATTCACACTAATCTGCCATACTCATTAGCCACCCAAGATTTCATCTTTAGTGCACCTACAATCTTCCATTCGGATTTAGCACGACTATCCACCGAAGTACACTTATTACAAAATCACTGGTATACTGAACAGTTGCCTTCAGCAGAACACACCAACCTTATCGCGAAGATGCAGCAGATGAATTTGAAAAAGAAACGATAAATAAAATCAAATACATCGAATCAAAAGCCTCCAACATTTTGCAAAAAGGGAAACGAACAATTGTCAAAGCACTGAGACTACATAACGTAGTCAGAACAGTTGTTTATTTGACTATCGCAATAATTATAATCGGTCTTTTAGGTTTACTCTACTCCCAATTTGCCTTAGCCAGAATAGTTCTAAATTATATATTCAAAATAATAAGCATGCCATGTTCGTCAATTTGGGCATTTTGCAAACGTAAAACAAAAGGATCAACTGACACTAACGAATGTAATGAACCAACAACGTCTGCTGGCCCTTCGCGAACAATTTTGCAACTCAAACGAAGAAATCCTTTAGGTAGACATTCAAGCCGAGAAAACTCAGTAGAAGTAAGTTTCAACGATATCCCTCTCAATTCTGGATACTCAACAATTCTCAAACACAAATCTCCTACACGGAATTTCCCCAGCGTCGCTCTCATTCATCAAGATTTATTATCACCAATATATATACCTGCAAAACTTAATCATAAAAACGTAATAGCACTTTTTGACACAGGATCTGCTATAACTTTAATTTCGGAACGACTAGCAAAACTTTTACATATGACTTTGAAAGAACCATCATCACAAGCAGGAATAACCGCTAATGGAACCCCGATTACATTCATAGGAGAACTTTCGCCAATACTTCAAGTAGCAGACAAACAAATTGCCATACTTACATATATAGTTCATGATGAAGACTGCACTGCAGAATTCCTCATTGGAAACGATACCATTGAAAAATTAGCAGCTAACATCTCAATACATTACGAAAACAAAACAATTTCTTTTGACCAAAACATCGTTCGATTTGTTGCACCACAAGAACCAACTGCTTCAAACTTTACCTGTGTACCTAACCGTTCCAC